TGTATGTGTGTATTGCATGTGTATGTGTGTATTTTGTGTGTGTGAGTATGTATATTGTATATTTGTTTTATGTGTGTGAGTGTGTGTCTCTGTGTGTATTGTGTGTGTGAGTGTGTGTGTATGTGTGTGTGTGTACACACATGTCTATAAGGTAGAATAAAGGGAAAGTGAGAGAACAGAAAGGAGTGACCATGTAACCTCCAGGTATGATACCATTTGAAGATCCAGAGAGATGTCTTTGACACAGAAAGTCATTCTGTGGCTTATGTTTTACTGTTTATGTCTTTTCCTGAAAACAGGACATGCCTGCTTTTGAAAAGTCACAGGACGGTGAGAACGAGAGAGATCTACTGTATTTAGGCAAGGTTCCAGAGGCATTGTGTGATTTTATGGTGATTTTATGACGGGGCAGTTTTGAACAACAGATACTTTGAGCCACAAGTTACAACACAGTGCAGAAAGTGCTGACACGGGCAGATAAAAGTCAACACTAGTTCAAGTTCTGGAGAGGTCATGGCAAAGGGTGGGCATAGGGGACATGACACGAAAGTGCTTCCAACAGAAGTTGAAGTTACCACAATCTGGTAACTTCAGATTGTGAAATGGGTGGCTGGCAGCTCTGCGGGAACAGGAAGCAGAAGAAAGAGGTGAAGGTGGAGATTTAGTACAGTGAGGGAGGGAGCTTTGTCTGGTTTGTTCACTGGTGTATCTCAAGTGCTGAAAGCTATAACTCAATAAATCTATATGCAGGGACTGGAGACACAGTTGAGCAGTTAAGAGAGCGTGCTGTTCTTCCAGAGGATGCAAGTTTGGTTCTCAGCACTTGAATCAGGCAGCTTACAACTGCCTGTAACTCCCACTCCACAGGATCCAGCACTCTTTCCTGTCTTCTACAGGTACCTGCACACACATGGTTTATAGGTGTGGAGAGCCGCATAGTGCCGTGCCCTTAAGATGGCGCCGGTCTCCGCCTTCCGCCACCTGTTGGTGAGAGCTCTTAGGAGTAAACAAGTCCTTATTTGGCTGTGGCTGGTGATCTGGCTTGTCTCCTTGAGTGTGGACCTATCTGCTGTTGCCATGTGCCAGACAGGGGCTGACTAGTCCTAGAGTACTTAAGCCTGGGAGACGCTTTCCCCGGGGTCAGAAGTCAGAAGATTATTCAAGGGTCCTGAATAAACTGCTTGGAGAAGAGCTCACGCGTTGCGTCTTCCTTGCTGGTCGAGGGTGGACGTGACATATAGGCACACAGATACATAAATAAAAAAAATGAATGTTTAGCAGAATCTATTTGTAATCAGATAATCCTGGGTGCTATTGAGAGTGGACCATTAGTTGGAGAGTGTGAGTTTGTGGTTATTATCCAGGAGGACCAGCCACTTCCTGGACGTGGAAGGTGTGGAGTAGACAGGATATTGAAAGCACAAGAATGGGTTGTTCAGATGAAGGTTCCCCGGTGTCTATGAATTTTGTCCTGCAGAAGGACTGAGGCCAAGAGGAGGACGAAAGGAAGGAAGTGGCAGTGGTGTGGAAGTCCAGACGCAGCTGAACTGTACATGTTGGAGGACTGGAATCTGATGCCAGAAGGTGGGAGTCACTTAGAAGCCAGCCAGGTATTGAAGACTTGTTTCCCCTCCGTTCAGGGCCTCTGAGACCCATAGTCACTATCAAGGGGGATAGACTCAGCCTTGTGCACTCTGAGGTAAGAGAAACTATCCAGGCAGGGAACTAATTATTATTATTAGTTTGTCATTAGTCTTAGCAATTTGTGCTAAAATTTGCTCGGGGAGATTGCCAAAGATGGTTACAGAGTCAGCCTCTGAAGTAGGCATGGTTAGAGTGGACTGAGGACAGGGTCAGGACTGGCCTCCTTGTGTGGGCTCGAGATGTGGGAGAGGTGGTCCCAAAGCTGCCACACCTAAGTTGGATCACCGGGAGAATGCACTTGGAAGAGCTGAACTCTTATGGGATGCCTGTGTATGTATTTATGAAAAGGTAGTAAGCTTGGCTTCACGCTCACCTGGCTTCACGTCTGACATGTCATCTCGTGTTCCCATGTGTGCTCTGACTCCACCTCAGTCCCGTAATACCCATCTGCCTTGATACCACCACCAGGTACAAGCCAATAGGGGTTTCTCATCTTATACGCATAGCATCCAGAATTGTAACCTAAATATACCCCCTTTCTCCATAAAATTATGCAGTTTCAAGTATTCTAGTAAAGTATTAAAAACTAAACTACATGGAATTCCCTGGCCCTCATATCAGGGATCTTGATACAGCAGTCACCCTAAACTGTCCTTACTAGGAATCCTGGCTTTTTGATTAGCTAGGGGCTGAACATAGACACAAGCATTCTTCTTTATATTCCCCCACACGACTGACTTCCTGGTGCTATTTTTTATCTTCCACCCCAATGCTTTAGTTATCATTGCCTTTGCTATTTTTTTCCCCCTCTGTGGACTTCAGGCTTTTTAGAGGCTCTAGAGTTACATAGACCATGCTAGGAAGAGAGCTACAGGAAGACAGAGAAGGGCCTGGTCATTACTTCAGAAGCATTGCCCTGGAAACAACTCTGAGTGTGTTTGTAAGGGATCTAGATTAGGTTAATCAAAGCTAAGACTCACCCTCAGTGGGTGGTGCCCTTGACTGCGTTCACGATGCTGGCCACTGGTTTCTGCAGGGAGCGGTGGGTGCCGATTCCTAGGGTACCAGTCTGAGGTTCATCTGTAACTGATGAGGGTGAAGTGATCCAGGCTGGATAAGTAGTGTCACCATCTTCCCTCGGATTCTGGACCAAAGCCTCTCCCAGCTGACATTCAGCAATGCAGCTCTGCACCTTGATGTGGCCCCTGGGGGTCCCACTCCCAGGTTCATCAGACTGAGGAAGGCTGCTGTTTCTAGGATGCTCACAGCAAAGGCTGAAGGTCTGAGGGATGGAGACTAAGGCACAGTAACTTGTGAGCAGCAGTGGGAAGATGGGCACACATGTCAGGCTCTGCGGTTGGAGGCTGACAGCTTCAGAGGCTTCTGCCGATTGACAGAGGCCCCCAGGCCTCAGGCCTGGAACGGTAAGGAGAAAGCGACCCTGAGAGTTAATAAATACATAAATACGTTCTCTCTCAAGAGGTGTGCTCGTGTGGAATAAAGTGAGCTGAGTCCAAGAATTTATCACCCACCATTCTCATACAGTTGTGAATAGCTGTCTCCTAACACTTCCCCACCCTCATGTGTCGTGTCCCCTAAACGGGTGAGCTGCAACAACGATTCCTTAGTTTGTTTTTGAAGGTCTTTTGTCGCAGGAACTACACAAGTAACGGATACACACTAAACCAACAAGTTGGCCAGTGAATTTACGGGGGGGGGGGGTTTCCTCCAGAAACATGAGTGCAGGGGCACTCGCGCTCGTGCGGGTGACTCTTGCTATTGTACTCAAAAGCCAACCCCAGTGTAAGTGCTGACTCACCAAAGCTGCTGCACCGAGTCCACCTTCTGGTTCCCCTTCTGCCTCCTGTATCAGCTAGCACCCTGCCCCACCCCCAACCTCGCGCATTAGGATTATGTGTAGCTGGGCTGACATGGTGAGGTAGGAGGAACTGAGGGGCTGGCATCTCAGGTGAGGGGATGGTGACCCTCTCCACTTCTCTGAAGGGATGTCAGCAGGCCTGGTTTTAGGAAGGTCTTTTAAGGGCGCTCAAAGCTGCTCCAGGTTCAGCTGTGCCACTCCTGGACCGCAGTGTTCCGTAACAGGAGACTGTACTGCTGACTAAGTGCCTTCCACTCCTTGTCCCATGTATTCCGCACAGCTCTGTGGCTTAACAAGCCATGTCTGTGAGAAGCTAACTGATCCTTCCTTAAGCAGGTTTACTTAACCGATGATGGATAAGAAATTCCACCTTCTTTGAGATCCTCGCTCTGCTTTACTCCACACTGCCACCTAGTGGGCACACCCACAGAACAGCTCCTCCTCAGCCCATGTTGGCTACAACAGAGCATGTGTGGTTGGTAACCCAGGTTGGTTTTTTTTTTTTTTTAATTGCTTCCTATGAACCTCTAGGAAAACTTTATATTATAAAATGTGATATGTACTATCAGCTGACATCCCCAGGAAAGCACTCCGCCATACGACAGAACTCAACGCCATACAAAAAGAATAAAATCAAGCTTAACTCTTGGAAAGCTGAGGGTTACATAGCTGGAGTCTCACTGTTGAGCCCAGAAAGGATAAAATCAGGACCCAGTTCTTACTTTCCTTCTGGAGACAAGAGTCCATAGTTATTGTCACAAATCGTAGGACTTTAGAAGTTGAATTATTGAAGCTCTCTATACTTCTAATTTCCTTTCAAATATTTACATTATCATACATTACAATTAACTGTTGGTGTATGCCCTGTGAATTTGAGACACACCGACAGGTGTAATTACCATCAGCACCAAGATAACATAGTTTCATCATCCTTCCATGCCTTCCTGTCCACGTCTTTAAGTCACACCCCCACCCACCTATGCCTATGCAACCACTGGCCTGTTTCTCATCGCTGCATGTACCCATGGAACACAGCAAACCCATTTACTTTCACACAACTTGTTGGAGTAGTATTCCAGTACAGAACTGGCTTAATGCACGCAAATCTTTTCTATATCCCATTAACACAAAAATCCCCAGTTCTATCATATAGTTAGAGTGGAGAGAAATCTGGGCACACTCTAACTAACTCCCTTTGTGAAATTAAACAAAGGAGTTATGTGTTCCCAGAACATAGTAGAGGTGTGTCTTTAGGACTGTAATTAGGGATATTCCAGTTCAAAGCCAGGGAAAAGTCCAAGAACAGAAGGTTAAAAAGAACTCTCCAAGCCAAAGCAGCTTGTAAATCTAGCCAGGGAGATATGCTCAGGTTCCAAGGCCAGGATCTCTTCTCTCAGCGCTGCTTTCTGTCCTTTTGTTACTAACCTGCACCCTCTCCAGCCCACCCTGTGAGCCACCCATCCTGCTTTGCATTGGCAGCTGATTGGGCATATTAGTTACTGCTGTCTTGGCTCTGACAGAATATACCTGATAAAAGCAATTTAAGAGCTGAGTGTGGTGGGGGCGTAGCGGGGTGAGCCTGTAACCTCAGCACTTAGAAGGTGGAGATAGGAAAATCAGGGTTCAGATCAAGGTCAGGCCTGGATATTATGAGTTCAAGGGCAACTTGGGCTACTTGAAAGTCTTCTCTATAAAAACAAATAAACAAAACCAGAGCTAATGGAGGGACGTGTCTGCTTGACTTACAGATTGAGAGAGTACAGTTTGTTGTGGTGGGCAGCCCACAGCACTGGGGACATGCTCACATCTGGGCAAGTTGAATTATATTTTCTCTTATAATTCTTTCATATTATAAAGTTATAAATATATTTTCTTTTTTTTTTTTTTTTTTTTGGTTTTTCGAGACAGGGTTTCTCTGTGTAGCCCTGGCTGTCCTGGAACTCACTCTGTAGACCAGGCTGGCCTCGAACTCAGAAATCCACCTGCCTCTGCCTCCCAAGTGCTGGGATTAAAGGCGTGCGCCACCACCGCCCGGCTATAAATATATTTTCTTTATTGCTGCTGGCGAGGCAGCCATCTGTCCAAACTGACTTTCAACTCACTGTAAGCCCAGCCCAGACAGGCATTGCCCTAGGAGATGTTTCAACTTCCCCGGGGGTTGGGGGGTGGGGTTGGGATTTTGGATAAGCACTGCCATGCTTATGTAAATACATGATTTCAGGGCCAGTCAGATGACTCAGCAAGTAACAGTGCTTGCTACATAATACTGATGACCTGAGTTCAATCTCTGAGACCCACAGTGAGAAGAGAGAAACATCATCCTCTGACTTCCATATATATGTCATGACACACACGTACCTACACACACACACACACACACACACACACACACACACAAACACACAGAAAAAGAGAGAGGGGGAAAGAGAGAGAGTGAGAAAGAGAGAGAGAGAGAGAGAGAGAGAGAGAGAGAGAGAGAGAGAGAGAG